CTGGTCTGATAGAGCCTGGTGGAACCACTGAGACTATGGTCCATAGCTGCCCTTCAGGTCTGGAATTGAATCCACACCTGTGGCTTCCAACCAAACAAAGACAGGTATATGTGTGGAACATTTACCTGAGGTAGATACACTCCTTGGAGAGAACAATCATGGGAGAAAGAAGGGCTGCGTATGCATAGGGAGACAGCTCAGGGGACAGGAGTGCATGGAGGGATGGACACTGGGAAGAGGTAACTATCGGGAAGAAGTGAGAGGGGAGCTGTTACATTGGGGTAAATTGTAGTCAATGTCATGAGACAAAGTGTATGTGAACTGCTGTATGGAAAGTGAATTTGTTCTATAAATTTTCACCCAAATCATACACAGACACACAAAATAAAGCCCTGCTCAGTTTAAGAAAACAGTAGGTGCCTCCTTGTCTCCCAATATGACGTAAGGATTCTGTTATTCCAGGAATATCAGGCCATGTACTCTAGAACACACAATACTATCGAACATCATGAATTACTTACTACACAGAATAATTTCTGATAAACTTTAACAACAAATCGAAAACCTCAAAAAAGGTCATTACCTTCCTCTGGCTTCACTGCTTTCTCCTTCTTTACCGATCCTGTTTTAGGACCCTTGTCTTGTGACTTCTTCTGTGAACCGCTAGTTTCTTTCTTTGAGTTAATCTAATATTAAAAAAAAAAAAAAAAAAGGAGGGGAGGTCATGAAAGTGCCTCCAGTCATGACAAGGTCACCTGGGCAAAGGTCCACAGGACAAATAGAGCACCATCAACAGATGCTGCTGCTATTATTGAAAAGATACACCTCCTGAAAGCACCACCTAGACTCATTTCTTTGACTTCCTCAACTCCTCAAATCTTTGAGATCTGAGTTCCTACCCACTATTGCACTGGGACTGCTCTCTCTGAAGTGGCTAAAGACCTTCTAAACTCTAAACACAGTGTAGTCTTTGTCCTGTTCTCATCTACTCCAACTTGTCCAAAGCTTAATAAAGGCTGGCTCATTGCCATCTTGCCCATCTCCGATCCCCTGTATCACTATACCACAGAGCTGATCCCACTGTCACCCCCAGGCTAATCCTAAACTTCTCAACTTGGTTTTGAGGGACTTAACCTAACTCTACAAGTTTCTCTCTGACTTTACTGTCACCCACGCCTTCTACTCTCCAGCCACCAACTTTTACACCATTACTTGCACCTCCCACTGCAACCTCCCACTTCTCAACTTGGCTCTATGCTGGGGGAAAGAATGGGATCCCCCAGACCCCCGCATCCCAATCTCAGTCACTGTTGTCCTCATTCCGATAGATTCACATCTTACATCTTCCATGAGATAACTCAAGCTGCCTAGAATAATGCTCACTCCTCTCTGTTCTTCCATGGCACTTTGTTGGTACCTCTATCACAGCACACAGCTATGTATGTGGCCTGGTGATACAGCTGCCTGTTAAGAGCATCAGTCTCTGCTAGAAGACTTAGAGCCCCTCAAGGGCAGAAATGATTCTCATTCACGGCTATAACCCACACAGGTCCAGCAGGGAGAACTGCCCATAACAGGGACTTACTACAACAGTCATCAAATTGAACTCGAGGCAACAGAAACTATTTAATGCTGTCCTTCCCAGGTTTCCTTTTACATCTTTATATGGGAAATTCCCTTAATACTGTTCACTACATTTAACTCTGTATCATAGTCTCATGTACCCATCTACTTTCCAAATAGACTCTCCTTGAACCCTGTAAGCTTTTTAAATTTACTGTTAAAAAATAATCGTAAGATAAAAATCTAGAGTCACATCTGGGACACATGATAGGACTCTAACATTTATATTATTTACTGTAGTATGTAAATAAACACACAGCTGAAAGGGAAAATTATTTTTTGGCGACATACTAGAGTAAGAAAATTACATATTATTTCATTTAATCTATGCAATAACTGTAAGAGGCAGGCACAGTGTCTGCTTTTTTGAAAGTTATCCACATTTATTAAGATATTGCTGTTTGTGTGTTTCAAGAAACCAGTCCCACTTTTTCAAAATTTATTTTTTTTGTTGAGAATATACACAGCAGTGCATAAGCCAATTCAACCATTTCTTTATGTACAATTCACTGACACTCTCACCTTCTTTACCAAATTGTTCCTCCCCCATGAACATAAACTCACTGCCCTCAAGGTTTCTTTCTCATATTTAAAGCTACTGTTGACAATTTTATTGAAACCAAATTGACAGGGAAATCAAAGTTTAGAAAAGTGACATACTGAAAGTAAGCTCCCTCCAGTACAACACACTGACTCTTAGTATTTTTTTGTTCCTTGGGTAGTTCATATTTCAATTACACTCCCTTCTCATTTCTCCCTCCCAAAGAGTTCCAAGGACCTTGGGAGTGCTAGGGAGAGATCTTAAAATCCATATATAGATCAGGGTGTCTTTGCAGAAGTTACTTGGAGTCTTTGGGTTCTATCAAGAGGCCTAAAATATATCAGTCACAGACAGGTAGTTGTACAGTGCCTGAAGTCCAACAGGATGACACCCAAAGACTGAAATAAGTCTCAGAAAAGGTACCGGTATCTTTCTGCTTTCATCCTTTTCAGATTTCAAAATGACTGGTAGCCAAGAAAATGGCTTTTAGCCCAGTCTGAGTGTGCTCCTAGGACATGAGGAGCTAAATGAGGAAAGGGTGGCAAGAAGGAAAAACTGCCTCTCTCCACCACTCACTATGGCCATGTGTTCTTTTTGTTTGGAAAGAAAGAGTCAAACACAAACATTACTTAAATCTTACCTCACCAAAAAAAAAAAAAA